GGCATCTCTTTCCCCCCAATCGACTCCCCAACTCTGAAAGGTACTGGTTCAGGGGGCCAGTCACATTTCCTTTCCTTCCTATCCTTTCTCCTCACTGTCTCCTGCAGGGGGTTCCCAACTGGTTGGAGTCTCCCTGGAAGCAGCATCAGGGTCCACAGCTAGGATCCAGAGGTCTGGAAGTTGCTGCCATTGGCCCAGACCCCAGGGGCTGCAGCCTTCACGGCCACCTCCCCAGCCTTGGGGAGAGACCCCGGCAGTCCTGGTGTGTTCCCCAGGGAACATTTCTCCTGCATCTCTCTCATGACTCACACCCCTGATTCCTGTGGGGCAGGGGCTGGGTCATGCACGGGCTTTGCCGCCAGTTTCCTGAAGTACAGCCTGTATGTGGGGGTTGTGACGAGGACTGGCTCTCTCCAGGGCCATGTGAGGCCCTCCTAGCCAAATATCGCTACCTGAAACGCAACCCCCACCCCTACATATGAACACACCTCCCACCCCCTCTACACTGGGGGCCCCTCCGTGGGCAAACACCAGCAGAACTCAAAGCTCCTCAGTTTTCCATCTTGAACTTGGGAAAATGGGAGCCTAGAAAATGATTCAACTGACTGAGTGTGGGTCTTCATGCTGGAGTCCCAGGTTCAATCCTTAGCACTGTAAAATCCTCTGAGCACTGCCGGGAAGTCAGCTCTGAGCACCAAGTCATAAGCAGCTCTAGTGCCACTGGGTGTGGGCCCAATCCAGAAAAAGAGAGAGAAGGAAGGAAGAGAAAAGAAAGAGGAAGGAGGGAAAGAAAAAAATGAAGGGAAAGAGGGTGGGAGGGAGAGAGAAAGACAGAAAAGAGAGAGAAAAAGGTAGAAATAAAGGAAGAATGTGGGGAGGGAGGATAAAATGAGAAGATGTGGGCCAGAGTGATAGTACAGCAAATAGGTTTGGTCTCAGGTATCCCGTAGGATCCTCTGAACCCACCAGGCATGATCCCTGATTTCAAGGCCAGGAGTAAGCCCTGAGCACTGTCAGGTGTGACCCCCAAATAAAAATGAACCAAATAAAATTAAGTAAAATTAAAAAAATTGAAATGCAGAGACAAGGTGGGGCTAGAGACATCTTTACAGCGCCCCTGGGATCTGCCGAGTGAAGGACATGAAACATAGAATGAGAACAGTCTAGAGGGGCCAGAGTGACAGCACAGCGGGGAAGGCAACGACCTTGCACACGGCTGACCTGAGTTGGATCCCTGGTGTCCCATAGGGTCCCTCGAGCCTGCTGGAGTTACTCCTGGCATAGCTGAGTGTGGCTCAAAGAGATGAGAGAAAGATGTGAGAGGAGAAAGGGAGAGAGAACGAGCCATCTAGAAGTTTTTTTTTGTTGGATTTTGTGGAGTTGTAGAGACAAACAGTAGATCCGGAGTTCTAGGAACTGGGCATAGAGGACAGGAACAGAAAATAGGTCGTTAGTAGTTGTGGTCCCCACTTTCCTGGGGCTGTGTGTGATAAAATTGTTCTAGAACTACAGAATGCTGAGGATCTGCGCATGTTGCTCTTTGGTGAATGGATTAAACTGTCTCAAACTTTCTGATCTTTTTTACAGGGAAAGAGGAACAGACTGGCAGTGCTAGGGCCTACTCTTGGCTCTGCATTCAGAAATTAGTCCTTGGGCTGGAGAGATAGTACGGCAGAGAGGGTGCTGTCCTTGCAAGCAGCTGACCCAGGTTCCATCCTGGCATTCAATATGATCACCAACCTGGGAGTGATAACTGAATGCAAAGCCAGGAGTAACCCCTGAGCATCATTGGGTGTGATTCCCCCCCCCCGCCGCCCCCCCCCCCCCACATATACACAAAATGTCATGCAGACTAATACCAGCTAGCAGGACCTGCCAGGGGACAGCTAGTTTGGGACATGACCTAACCATGGAACACATTCGGGATGTCTTTGGATTTGTCTTGTTTCGTTTTGTGTTTGTATTTTGGGCCACACCTGGTGATAATTAAGGGCTACTCCTAAGTCTACTCCCAGGGATCATTCCTGGTGGCACTCAGGGAACCACATGGTCTGCCTGGGATCGAAGCAGGGTTGCTCGTATGCAAGTGTCCTTCTGGCTGGCCACTCTCTCCAGTCTTGGGCGGGTCACAGTTTGGCTTTGCACCTTTGGTGAGCTGGGGATGTCCTCCGAATGAGCGCAAGTTCTTGAGTTGGTCTCTTTTTTTTTTCTTTTTGGGTCATACCCGGCGATGCACAGGGTTTACTCCTGGCTCTGCACTCAGGAATTACTCCTGATGGTGCTCTGGGGACCATATGGGATGCCGGGAATCAAACCCGGGTCGGCCGCATACAAGGCAAATGCCATACCCGCTGTGCTATCACTCCAGCCCCTTGAGTTGGTCTTTGCTGAAGAATTTCTGCTTCTGTCCTCACCCGCCAGCTGCCTACAGATGTCCCAATTCCCACCAGATATTCTAGAAAAGAGATAACCTCACCTTTGTTCGGAGCCCAGCAGCGGGGTCCGCCTAAGGACTAAAACAGTGTTTCCCCACTTCTCAGGGTCAGAGTGTAGGATTGCATGTCAGGAGCAGTGAGCGGGTGCTGGACACTGGGCGTGGAGGAACACAGCCAACTCAGCCACCCCGTGGTCACCCACTTCCCTTCCCCACCACTTCCTCTCTGGGACATGGTGACCAGGCAGATTCCCCAAATTTGACTATTGCCTGACCCTACCGCCCACTTCCCTCCTGGGCAGGGCAGCTTGAACACCACCAGGTGGATGTCACCTCTGAGAAGTCACCCAGGCCCCCTTGCTAGCCTCTGAGAGGTTTTCTAGACCTCAAGAATTTTGTGGGGTGAAATCCATGTTTCTCCTACCTCAGGGAGCAGGAGAGAGTTTCAAACTCACTTCCCAGGCCAGGAAGGCAAGAGACTGGCTGGCTGAGCACAGGAAAGGAGGATGGGCAAGAGCAGAGGGTGGAGGGAAAAGTCAAAGGGGACTTCCTGGAGGAGGCTTCACCCTGAAGGAAAGTAGATTAGAGCCAAGGATGGTCTCGCAGAAGAAGCTCCCAAGAGGTGCTCAGGGGCTTGGGGGCACCGTCTCCAGTGAATCTCGACCAACCAAGCTAGAAGTTCAATACAAGGGCCTATGTAATGATGCTGTTCAGGCCCAATAAGATTGCCAGCACTCAGGGCCCCCCAGGGCTGCACTCAGGAAAGCTCAGGGACCTCGTGGAGCCAGGGTCAGCCACAGAAGATATGAACCTTCACCCCTCTACTGTTTCTCTGACCCAAAGATGGGTTTTTTGATTGTTTATTTTGGTCACACCCATCGATGCTCAGGAGTTCCTCCTGTCTCTGTATTCAGGGATCACTCCTGGCAGGGCTCAGAGGACCCTATGGGATACTAAGGATGGAACCCAGGTCGGCCATGTGCAAGGCAAACACCTTCCCTGTTGTACTATCACTCCAGTCCCAAGATGGTCTTTTACAAAAGGTCTGTAGCACTGTAGCACTGTCCTCCCGTCGTTCATCGATTTGCTCGAGGGGGCACCAGTAACATCTCCATTGTGAGATTTGTTGTTACTATTTTTGGCATATCGAATACAACACAGGGAGCTTGCCAGGCTCTGCCGTGCAGGCGGGATACTCACGGTAGCTTGCCGGGCTCTCCGAGAGGGATGGAGGAATCGAACCCGGGTCGGTTGCATGCAAGGCAAATGCCCTACCCACTGTGCGATCACTCCTAAAATTAATTAAAAACTGGCTGGATGGGGCTGGAGAGATAGCACAGTGGGTGGGGCGTTTGCTTAGCACACGGCCAACCCGGGTTCTATTCCCAGCATCCCATATGGCCATATGATCCCTTGAGCACTGCCAGGAGTAGCTCCTGAGTTCAGAGCCAGGAGTAACCCCTGTGCATCGCCAGGTGTGACCCAAAAAGAAAAAAAAACTGGCTGGAGCCATAGTACAGCAGGAGAGGGAGTTTGTCTTGTACAGGGTCGACCCAGGTTCTATCCCCAGTATCCCATATGGTCCCCCACAAACGGCCAGGAGTAATTCCTGAGCACAGAGCCCAGAGTTAGCCCTGAGCACCTCCAGGTGTGGCACAAAAACAAAACTAATCAAAAAAATATATAAAATACATGTGGTTCATTAAAATAAGTAATCTATCAATCTTACTGTTGCAAATATCACTAGAACAGTGTCACATTACACCAGTACATATATTGCTTTTATTTCATGTTTCTCTTTCATTTATTAATGATGGGGGTGACGCCAGCAGTGTTTGGTGGCTCAGAGCTGGGAGCCCTCCTGGGAATTATTGGGGAATCCTAAGGTGTCAGGAATTACTGGGGTTTGCACATGAAAAACTATTGCTCCAGAACTTTGAGCTGCCCCCCTGACCCCTCTTTAATTTTTTTGCAGCATCCATACCTGGTGGTGCTTTGGGATTACCCAACCTACACCCAGAGTTGCTCTGAGGGTCATGCGGTGGAGGGGACGAGAGCAGGATCTCTCACATGCTCCACGCTCGCTCCCTCACGCTGGGTCACATCCGTGCTTCTCTTGAGATCTTTTGACTCTCTTTCCTTCTTTTTCTTTGCTTGTTTTGCTTTTGGGGCCACATCCAGCAGTGCTCAGGGCTGTTTCCTCGCTCTGTGCTCAGGGATCACTCCTGGCGGGGCTCAGCTTCTAGGGATGAGATCTGGAGGGGCTTCGTGCAAATGCCTTAAGCCCTGCGCTGTCTCTCCAGCCCCGGTTTCATTTTGGAACGTGGCTCCTAATGAATGTCCACTACATCAGCTTCTAAATGGTTCCAGTTTTGCTGGTTCTCACCTGGCTTCCAGAGCCCCACACCCCAACTCAGCCTCTCTACCCCAGCTAAAATGTGCCCACACAGACACACGGCCTGGCATGGCGCAGAAATGTTTGGAAGTCGAGATCACATTTCCATCTTGATGAGATTTTATTTCCAGGACCCAACACGTGCACTGCATTGATTTCCTTAATTTTACAAAGTCAAAAGGTGAACCCACCATGCTCCCCATCGCCTCCCCCCATTCCTTTTCCATCTGCACCCTGCAAATCTCCCCCACCCTGAACATTCTAGAAAAAACAAGATTGCATGAATGGGTGAGGGAGCAGGCTGGGAAGGCGGAGGGGGGTGCAGGGAGGGAGGGAGTGCCATGGGCCGTCTGATGGTGACAGGCAGGGTTGCCCTATCTCTCTGCTCACTGATACCAACATCCAGAGCCCAGAGCTCAATGTCATTTCACAACAGGGACCCAGAGGGACAGTCCAGCGGGGAGGACACTTGCTTTGCATGCAATCAACTTGAGTCTAATCCCCGGGACCATATGGTCCCTCAAGCACCACCAGGAGTAATTCCTTAGTATAGAACCAGGAGTAAGTCCTGAGTATTACTGGGTGTGACCCCAAAACCCAAAAACAGCCACAACAAAAAGAGGTGGTCATGAAGGGGACTCGGGGTGGGCACAGGGATGCCATAAAAGATATTCTTACTTGTTTGTTTATAAACTTCAAAGAGGGGCTGGAGTGATAGCACAGCGGGTAGGGCGTTTGCCTTGCACATAGCTGACCAGGGTTTGATTCCCAGCATCCCATATGGTTCCCTGAGCACTGCCAGGAGTAATTCCTGAGTGAAGAGCCAGGAGTAACCCCTGAGTGTGACCCAAAAACCAAAAAAAAATTTTTTTTTCAAAGAAATTGGGAGGACAGTGATAGTACAGTGGGTAGGGCATTTGCCTTGCAGGCAACCAACCTGGGTTCAATCCCTCATGACATATAGCCCTGGAGTCCTACCAGGAATGATTCCTGAGCACAGAGCTCTGAGAACTGCTAGGTGTGGCAAAATATATATGCTGGAGTGATAGCACAGTGGGTAGGGCATTTGCCTTGCACAAAGCTGACCAGGCCAACCTGAGTTCAAGTCCTCCAACCCTCTCGGAGAGCCCAGCAAGCTGCCGAGAGTATCTCGCCCACACAGCAAAGCCTGGCAAGCTACCGTGACATATTTGATATGCCAAACACAGTTACAACAAGTCTCACAATGGAGATGTTTCTGGGCCTGCTTGAGCAAATTGATGAACAATGGGAGGACAGTGCTATATATACATATATACATATATATTTAATGAAGAAAGTTTTTAATGCAGAAAGTTTAAGTGCCCCATACCCCTTTCCCTGTAGGATTCAGCATGCCCCCTTCAGCCTAATTTCCTAAAGGATGGAACACAGGTCCAATTCCCCTCCCTCCCAACTCTTCTTGAGCACTGCACCGGGAGTTGCCCCTGAGTACCACTAGGTTCCCCCCCCCCAAAGAAAAACAAAAATGAAAAAGAAAGAAGCTGTCTCGTGCTGGAGGATCTGAGATATGCACCTCCTCATCTTCCTGAACCAAACTATTTTGAACAAAAAGAAGCCAGGGGCTGAAGCAATCATTCAGCAGCAAGGGCATTGGCCTTGCATGCAGCTGACCTGGACTCAATCCCCGGCATCCTATAGGGTCCCCTGAGCACCACCAGGGGTAATCCCTGAGTACAGAGCCAGGGGTAACCCCTGAGCATCTCTGGGCGTGGCCCCCAAACAAGAAACAAAACAAAACAAAAAAAAAAGGAAGAAGAAAAAGAAGAAGTCAGTGGCCAAACTGTCCCAGGCAGAAGCTGAGCATGAGGAGAGGTGAACTCTGGGGGCTGGGGAGCGGGGGACTCACACTGCCTGGCTCTTCTGGGCCAGGGTATCCATTGTGGAGAGCGAGTGGGTCTTGCTTTCCCTGCCCCCAGACTCATCTGTCAGCAGCTGGTGGAGCCGGGAGGGCAGGGACTTCAAGACCCGCGTGTGGAGGCCCCGGGCAGCCACCACATAGATGATGGGGTTGATGCAACAGTTGATATAAGCCACGGCCACACATAGGCCATCTACAGCCTTGGCGGCATTGTAGGGGGTTGAATCCTTGGGGTACAAGACCAGAATCATGCCCGACACCTGGTAAGGTAGCCAGAGAATAAAAAAGCTGGCGACCACGGCCACCACCACTTTGAGGGTCTTGGTGGAGCGCGTAGCCGGGCGGCTCCAGGTCCGGTACAGAAGGAAGGAATAACAGATGCTCAGCGTGGCCAGTGGCCCCAGGAAGCCCAAGACCAGCCGCATGAGGGTCACGTAATATGCCACCGTGTCACGCCCTTTGCCATAGTCCACCCCGCAGGAGGCCTTGTCGGAGAAGGAGTCCTTGTACAAGGAGCGGAACATGAAGGAGGGGACAGAGAGTCCCAGTGCCAGCCCCCAGGCCACGGCACAGGCCATCCACGCCAGCCAGGCCACTCGGTAATTCTGGCACCAGATGGGGTAGAAGACAATGAGGAAGCGGTCCGCGCTGATGGTCGCCAGGAGCAGGATGCTGGCGTAGAGGTTGAAGAGGATGAGAGAGGGCAGGACACGGCAGAGCAGGTCACTGAAGGGCCAGTGGCCATGCATGGCGGTGGACGTGACCAGGATGGGTAGCGCCAGGCAGGAGAGAAGGTCAGCCACCGCCAGATTGAGGAACCAGATGGCGTTGATGGCGCGCCTGGCCTCTGAGCTGGTCACCCACAGCACCAGCGCGTTGCCTGGGATGCCCACCAGGAAAACCACAGTGAAGACCACCAGAGCCAGCACTTCAGGAACCTTCAGCCTGGGCAGGGGGCGCGGGCCATCCACCGGCTCATCCAAGTCTAAGTTGTCGTAGTGTGAGTAGTCTGGCATCAGCGAGTTGTTGTGTGTGAGGTTCTGGGGGTGATCAGAAAGATACAGAGAATGAGGCTGCAGGTCAAAGTTGGGGTCTGGACAGGCCCAGAACTTCAGGGCACTGTGGCCCATGGAAACTCCGGGGTTCTCCCAAGAAATGAGAATGCTGAAGGGCAGAGGCAGCAGGGGCATCATGCCACTCAAAATTATTGAACACGGAACTGGAGCAATAGCACAGTGGGTAGGACATTTGCCTTGCATGTGGGCGACTCAGGTTCAATTCCCAGCTTACCATATGGTCCCCCGAGCTCCACCAGGAGTAATTCCTGTGCGTCACTGGGTGTGACCCAAAAAACAAAACAACAACAACAAAAAAGTTATTGAACACCCCAGATCCAAGTGCTGGAGAGATAGTACAGTGGGAAGGGTGCTGGCCTTGTACATGACTGACCAGGTTGATCCTCAGACACCTCAGAGAGTCCTTCCAGCCTGCCAGGAGTGATCCCTGAGTGCAGATCCAGGAGTAAACCCTGAGCACCGCTGGGTGTGGAGCAAATATCATAAAAAGAAAATCTAAGACTTTCTGTGGGAGGAATGAACGGAAGAGACAGAGTCGGGGTTCAGGAACAAAGGGTGGGGGTTGGACAACAGTAAAGTGGGTAAGGCGTTTGCCTTGCACATGGCAGACCTGGGTTCAATCCCCAGCACCCAATATGGTCCCCTGAGCACTGCCACCAGCACTTCCTGAGCCGATTCTTCTCTGTGACAGGAAATAGGCCCATAAACCAACCCTCATGGGAAGGAATTTTGGGGGTGTTCCACATCCAGCTCAAGACCTACTCCTAGCTTTTCAGTCAGGGATCACTCCTGCTAGGCTCAGCGGGACCCTATGGGGTGTCAGGGATTGAACACAAGTCAGCCATGTGCAAGGCAAATGCCCTCCTCGCTGTGCTATCGCTCTAGCCCCAAGAAATTTCTTTTATTAAAGCAATTTTTGTTGTTTTGTTTTGCCCCACATCTGGTGATGCCCAGAGGTCACTCCTGCCTCTGGGGTCATCTCCAGAGGGCTCAGGGAATCATATGGGGTGCCAGGGATAGAGCCCAGGTTGGCCGCATGCAAGGTAAACGCCCTCCCCACTGGACTATCGTTCTGGCCCCTAAGCAGGAGAAATTTCAAACCAGAAAGTTAAAGTGATTGAAATGTTTCCTTTGGTCAACACCACCCCTACCTGTTCCCCACTCCCCGTCCCCAGCACCCCACCCTCCACTTTCTCTGGGACCTTCCCCTGCTCCAGTTACTCAATGGTTAATGCCAGGCACAGCAGGAGACCCCAGACTTGAAGATTCTGCCTGTATCTTTGGCATCCTTGTCTGTTCTGTTCCTGTCCTTGACAGGGTGATTCAGAACTGGGCAAAAGGGAAATGCCTCAGCTTCCCTTTGCTAAAACTCAGCATTCTTTTACTTCCCTAATCAGCTGACCTGGAGCCCTTCCTGCCATGAGCTCACTGAGCCCTGTCCCTTGACTGACATCACCCAGCAGAACAGAACACAGAATTCAACACTGTGGTTTCTAGATCTGGCATAGCTTTGATGATAGAAAGGACCACAGATGCAGCCAGATGGGACTGGCTAAATTCACTGTGGGGCTTATTGATGGGGAACATTATGCAACCATGAAAAGGAAGAAGGAAGTTGTAGTGTACTGATGTGGAAAGAGTTTTGAAGTCAGAGCCAGAGTGCTAGTACAGTGGTTACGGCACTGGCCTTACATGCAGCCAACCCAGGTTTGGTCCCTGGAACCCCCATGGCCCCAAAGTCCAGGCAGGAGGAGGTCTCTGACATTGGTGATGGGATTGATGTTGGAAAATTGTACTCATGGAATTTGATCATGAATGATTGTAAATTTTAGTGCTAATTGATAACTTTGTAAGTTACAGTACCTTAATAAAAAATGTTTTTTAAAAAAGAGTTTTGAGGTCTAGTGAAATACAAGGAGACATTACTGGTGCCCGGTCGAGCAAATCAATGAACAACGGGAGGACAGTGCTACATTGTAGTGAGTGAAATACAAAAGGCAAGGACGGGAAGGATGACACCTGTGAAGGTGGAAACCCCCCCGCCCCTGCATTAACTGTGCCTGTGTGCCTGTGCACACAGACCCCTGTTTACACACACAGACCAAGTGACCTGCTTACACACAAAGACCATGTGGTTCAGTGGCAAGGCCACCTCGCCTTGTATGTCTGAGACCTGGGGTTCCATTCCTGTCTCTCCAACCCCATCAATCTCATCTCTTCAATCCCCTGGGAGGACACCAACCCCTGCCTCCACCCCACCCTGCAACCATCACAATAAAAAAGGATTTGTAGTTCTACAATCCTAGTATTCTGGAATGAACCCCTGCACTATCCTGTTGGATACTGGGGATAGAACCTGGGTTGACCATGTGCACGACAAATGCCCTCCCTGCTATGCTATTATTGCTCAGGTCCCCAAATTAAGGAACTTTTCTGGGGGGATGGGGGTAAAGCCACACCCAGCTGTGCTCAGGCTTACTCCTGGCTTTGCATTCAGGGATCACTACTTCTAGATTCAGAAGGACCGTATGGGATGCCAGGGATTGAACCCAGGTCAGCCATGTATAAAGCAAACCCCTCTCTGCTGCGCTAGCACTTGGCTCATTTGAACTTCTTACATTCTATTCTTTTCAACATGACAAACAACCTGGCACCTGAGTTGCGCAGGAGGAAGAGAGTGGTGTGGAACGGATTCAAGAGCGTCAAAGAAATAGCGAAGAGGACAAAAACCTCTGGCTCCAGGCACATCTCTTCGACTTCACTGTTCTTCCTGCATTAACATATGCCTCAGAGACCTGGGCCCTACGAAAACAGGATGAGAACACTATTTGGGTCTCCCAAAGAGGAATCGGAAGAGCTATGCTTGGAGTATCACGCTTCACTCAAGTGAGAGGAGGAATCCAGAGTTCCGACCTCCATCGACGATCAAGAAGCAGGGATGCTGTCTTGTTTGCCAAGTCATCGAAAATCAGATGGACTGGACACGTAATGTGATTTGGAGACAACCACTGGACTAGAGCCGTTACCGACTGGATCCCACGGGATGTCAAAAGATCACGTGGCCGCCCACCTATGAGATGGTCAGACTTCTTCGTCAAGACCCTGAACAAGGGCTGGAGTGATAGCACAGCGGGTAGGGCATTTGCTTTGCACACAGCTGACCTGGGTTTGATTCCCTGAGCACCACCAGGAGTAATTCCTGAGTGCAGACCCAGGAGTAACCCCTGAGCATCGCCAGGTATGACCCAAAAAGAAAAAAAAAAAAGACCCTGAATGAACAGTTTGAGGCTCTTTTGTTCCTGGAGCGAGCAGACGCCACTGGGCTACACTAGCAGGCGACAGGGATGAATGGAGACGTTACTGGCGCCCGCTTGAGCAAATCTATGAGTAATGGGATGTGATCAAGTGATTCTTTTAATTTGGGGCAGAGGGAGGTCCCAAGCGGTGCTCAGATGATGTGGGGCCCCATCTGCAATTCTTGGTCAAGCAGGAAGTAGGTTTGGGACAAAGGCCCATGGACGAGATGCTGGTACCAGGCCAGGGCATCCCAGGCCACTGCAGTGGTGCTGGGGGCATCCAGGGCTGCACCTGGCAATACTTGGGGATGCATGCGGTGCTGGGGTAGGCACCCAGGCTGTCACGTGTCTAACCTCTGCACTGTGTCCCGGGTCCTGCCCTTTCAATCCATGGCAGAAGCGTGCCTTGCATGCACGAGATTATTGGCATCACCAAAAAAGTCCAAAGCTGGGAATGAGCGATAGTACAACAGGAAGGGTGTTTGCCTTTCACGCAGGCAACCCTGGTTCCACCAGGAGCGATTTCTGAGTGCAAAGCCAGGAGTAAGCCTGGGCAGCACCTGGTGTGGCCCAAAAAAAACAAAACTAAAACCGAACAAACAAACAAAAAGAAAAAGTACAAAGCTCACGGCAACGATCTGGGCAGCAAAGACTGGGTACCACTAAGCGATTCTTTTAGTGTATAAGCAAATGGGGCTGGAAGGTTAATAATAGTATTTATGTCACAGCAGCTGGAGGGTAACTAATTCCTCTTTCTTCCAAATGCACACATTCTCTGTGGCTGAGAGAAAGGAGAGATTGGGAGAGGAACTGCCCAGGAACCAGACCCAAAGGCTGCCCGGGGTGACAACGAAGGAGCGCAGGGGACCAGGGTGGCAGGGGTGTGAGAACTGGGGTATGAGAACAGTCACTCACATGTGGCTTCTCTCTGCTCTGCACCTTTCCCTGGATTCTCTGCTTTCAGCCTCCTAAGCATTTGAGGAAGTGTTCGTTTCACAGATGAGAAAACTAAGGCAACACAGAGGTTGGGTCCTTTGCAAAGGGTTGGAGAGATGCTTCAAAGGGGCGAGCCATGATTAGTATGCAGGATGGCCTGCTTTGGTCCTGGCACCCCGCTTCAACTCCTTGGAACAAGCCACCCCCTCCTAGTACTACTGATGGTGGCCCCAAAACAAAACAGAACAAAAATGATAATACAGAATAGTACAGCGGGTAAGAGGGCTCTTGCCTTATGCAGGTAAGACCTGGGTCTGATCTTCAAAATACAGAGCCAGAAGTGAGCCTTGAGCACAGCTGGGTGGCACCTCCCCCAAAAATAATAATAACAAAATAATAATGATAAAGGGATAGAGAGATTGTGCAGCAGGGAAGGTGTTTGCCTCGTACCTAGCTGGCCTCGGTTCAGTCCCCAGTGCTCCAGGCACTGCCAGGGGTGACCCCTGAGAACAGAGCCAGGAGTCAGCTCTGACAACAGCCAGGTGTGGCCCCAAAACAAAAATAAACAAAGAGAATAAAATAATGAAATGACAGTGGCCCTGCCTGGACTCAGCTATAACGTTCCTGGAAGCCCAGACATGGTTCAAAGTGGGTGAAACAAGGGCTATTGATTGGAATTGGGGTTTCTGCAATTTGAGTGACTTGGTTTCCATTTTAGTGAGGTCCAAGTCCAGGACAGGAAGGGGATGAGGTTCCAGAGATCAAATCCAGGGCCTCACATACAAAATATGTTCTAGCACTCGAGTCACTTCCCAACCCTGAAGTTTGGATTTGAAAAACCACATATTGGGATGCCCAGGAGAGAGTTCAGGGACTGCAATGCAGACTTTGATTATTGGAGGCCAGGTTTGATCCCCATGACCCCACAGAGTTGCCTGAGCACTATTAGGACTGATCCCTGAACACCACCAATTATCACCCAAAAACGGGGAGTTGTAATAAAAATAAAAGAAAGGGAAATACATAGCACTGATCCTCATCCATCCATAGCGCACAGACAGAAATCACTCGGAGGGCCAGAGAGATGGTCCAGGGGAAGGCGCTTGCCTTGTGCAGCTAACCCTGGTTCAAAGCCCTGAGTCTCAGATGGGCCCCTGAGAACTGCTAAGAGTGACCCCTGAGCAGAGAGCCAGGAATAAGCCCTGAGCATTGGCCAGTATAGCCCCCCAAACCAAACCAATCAACCAGAAAAAGTGACCAATAGGGGCTCGTTCATCAGATCATGTTATTCATGAGAAAAGGGAGGGGAAAAAAAAAGGAGAAAAGGGGGCTGGAGCAATAGTATAACAGGTAGGGCATTTGTCTTGTACACAGCCAAGTCAAGATAGATCCCCGGCATCCCAGATGGTCCCCCAAGCACAGCCAGGAATGATTTCTGAGCGCAGAGCCAGGAGTAACCCCTGAGTACCGCGGGGTGTGGCCCCAAACCCAAAACAAAACAAAAACAAAGAGCAAGATCTAGGGTAAAATGCAAACACGCTTTGTCTGGGGAAGGGAGAAATCAAGAGTGGGCAGGGCAAGTGCAGTGAGCACCAACTGCAAACTCCCCCCGACCCCATGGGGCCCTGTCCTGCTCTGATTCTGTGGGGTTGGACCATATCTTACAGATAAAGAGGGGACAGAAAAAGAGGGGCAGGGAGGGGCCCCGCGAGAACAGAGTCCCCGGGCATTACACAGGAGGCAGAAATGGAGCAGGAACCTCAAACTTGACCCCCAGGTCAGACTTCTCATTCTTTGGTTCCTTGGGACCCTGTTTCTAGAAGGATCCATCAACACTATCTGGAGCCCACAACCGCCTCTGCGGGCAGAGACCGGAGGTCAGAAGTTCTGGTGACTGGGGCTGCCTTAGGGAAACAGTGAAATCAAAGTCAGCTGTGACCACACACATCCCGCAGAGTCTCACAGCAGGGAGAGGCAGAAACGGGACCCCCTTCCTACCCCCGCTCCAGTCCCATTTCCTTTCACAGGTGAAGCAGGTTCCACTCTCCGGACAAGGGGTCCCAGCACCACACCACAGCTAAGAAACTTTTCTCTCTCCTTTTTTCTCCCATTTTAGCAAAGCTCAGGATTAACTCCTGCCTCTGCACTCAGGAATTACTCCTGGCAGTGCTGGGGGGACCCTATGGGATGCTGGGGATCGAACCCGGGTCAGCCACATGTAAGGCAAGCATCCTCACCGCAGCCCTATCGCTCGCCCAGCCTTTGGGCTTTTCCGAAGACTCATTTCAGTCTCATCTCAGCAGACCCAATGGCCGGGTTTGCTGAGAAGATGTCAAGACTCCCCACAAAAATCTGAGATCAGTCAGGGCAACAGGGCTGGAGAGTGGATACAACTGAAGCCAGGTGGAAGGCGGATAGAAGGGAAAGGAGGGTCTGGGGAGGGGGGAGTGGGGAAGGAAAAAGGGCCCAGGAATGAGAGGGCTGCCTCATGCACTCCCCTCTAGACTCACCATCCTCGGCCTCCCTGGTCTCTGGGTCTCCTCTCAGTCTCCGCCAAGTCTGAAGGTCCCTTTGCCTGCGGGCTGCGGTTTTTAAAGCTCCACAGGAGGGAGCAGTTGGCTGACAGGAAATGACCAGGCTTTCCTTTCGGCCATTCTAATTGGTCTGTGCCCACAGTGCCCGGGGCCCTCCAGGGTTCCTTCTGTGGGTACACCCTGCACACCCTCTGCACCACCTCCCTGGAGGAGGCTGGAAATCCTGTGGGCCTGTCCCCTCCCCTGGGTTGGTCTTGATTTTCTCATTTAAACCTGTTTTCTCTCTCCTCTCTCTCCTTCCCCTCTTGGGCAGCCACAGCAGAAAAGTTCAGGGGTCCAACTCTCCTTTGAGGCCCTGGGGTCTGGCAAGAGCCTAGCCTTGGACCAGCATATCTTTGAGGCCCAGAGAGGCCCAGTGAGTACACACAGGTGGTCCAGCACACATGGGGGGCTTTCAACTTCCACTGGAATTAAAGGGGGAGGTGATGGGTGCCAAAGCGATAGGACAGGGGGGAGGGTGTTTGCCTTGCACGCAGCCCACCCAGGTGTTGGTGCCCAACCAAAACTGTTAGGATGAGCCTGTGGAGATGGACCCGCAAGCGGGCAGGAACACAGGCCCCATGACACTGGGCGAGCCATGACTCGTGTGTCCAGACTGGTCTGGACAGGGTTAACGTCTCTTCCCTTGGCTGCCTTTTAGCTCTTAGTATCACAAAGAAGCAATCTTCCCTTTCTCACAGATCCCTAACCCAGCTCAGCTTTGGAATGCAGACATTCTCTCACATCCCCTTATCGCTCCAGGTGCAAGGGCCTGTAGCTCATGGTGCCAGATTGCTTGGCCTTGGATTCCTCTCTGGAGGCTGCGACCAACCACTGGGCTAGCAGACGTGACAGAACAATGTAGCCTCGATGTCTTGATGTCCCTCCTGTAACCCCTATTCCCTGTTAATGCTTTCTTTGTGCTGAGTGCATTAGATGGGCTGGAGCGATAGCACAGCGGGTAGGACATTTGCCTTGCAAGCAGCCAACATGGCCGACCCGAGTTCGATTCCTCTGACCCTCTCGGAGAGCCTGGCAAGCTACCGAGAGTATCTCGCCCACACAGCAAAGCCTGGCAAGCTACCCGTGATATATTCGATGTGCCAAACACAGTAACAATTGTCACAGTGGAGACGTTACTGGGCCCGCTCGAGCAAATCGATGAACAATGGGAGAATGGTGACAGTGACAGTGACAGTGAGTGCATTAGATGCATGTACATAGGATAGTAACATTGGAAAGGACATCTTATTGTCTCCTTATTACTTTGGAGAACCCAGCAGGCTACCGAAAGTATCCTGCCTGCACGGCAGAGTCTGGCAAACTTTCCACGTTGTACTCAATATGCCAAATACCAGTGACAATGATAGGTCTCATTCTCCTAGCCCTGAAAGAGCATTGAATATGGCTCTTTTAAAATCTCAGGGCTAGGAAGAAGGAGACATTACTGGTGCTTGCTCGAGGCAATTGACGAACAACAGGATGATCGTGATTGTGATCGAGATGTAGGATAGTGAATAAAAGAGGTCATGGGATGTTTCCTCAATGCTGGTCTGCCAGAGCAAGCTAGCAGCCCTCCAGCCATTAAAATTCTCGCAGTTCTATCTCTGTGCCCCTGATGGAAAGAATATTCACGCAACACCCGGGTTCGATCCCTGACATCCCATAGAGTCCCTCAAACACTTCGAGGCATAATTCCTGAGTGTAGGGCCAGGAGTAATGCCTGAGCATCGCTGGGGGGACCCCAAAAGAAAAGATGGGGAGCACTGATGACTACATGGGGCCACCCTCCTGCCTCTTCGTAGCATCTGCCAGAGACTGGGGTGAGGATGGACCCTATGTGCCCTTCCTTCCCACAGCACTGGCCATGTCCATCACCCACTGAGCATCCAGACACCCCGATGTTTCCCTCCCAGGCAGAGGTGGGAATCAGGGGACCAGCAGGGATGCCTCCTGGTGAACACTGAGTCTGGCCATTTCTGGCACCTTGGGACCCCCTTGGGACCCCCTCTCCCATCTCTTGTTCTTCCCCTCCACCCTCCATCATATGTAAACTGGCTCTGATTGACATCCTGAGCTTAATCCCGGCTAATCTCTATGTCAGGCTCTTTATCTGCCCAGACCCTTGGCGGTTTGTGAGGCTGGAGTGCGAGGGAGTATGTGGCCGCTGACACCCACAGCCAGTCACTGGCGCATGGACATCACCATGCAGCCAGAGCTAGGCCTTGTTCCCCCCAACCCCCCACCCCTGCTAACATGAGGTTTAGTTTAGGGTGACTGTAGGTGGGAAAGATGGAGCATTTGCTTTGTTGCAAAGGGAATCCCCATGCAGAGGAAAGCATTTCCACAACCTAAAAGAAAAAACTGGGCTGGAGCGATAGCACAGTGGTAAGGCGTTCGCCTTACAAGCGGCCAACATGGCCGACCCGAGTTCGATTCCTCTGCCCCTCTCGGAGAGCCCAGCAAGCTACCGAGAGTATTCGATATGCCAAACACAGTAACAACAAAGTCTCCAATGGAGACGTTACTGGGCCCACTTGAGCAAATCGAGCAAAAGAAAAAAACATTGAAACTCCCCCAAACCCACCTTAAGCCACCCTTCTGAAACACCTACTAGCACTTTTGGGGATGCTCACTCTGGCTTTTTTTTGGGGGGGGACCTTTTTGGGTCATATTCAGTGATGCTCAGGGGTTACTTCTGGCTCTGCACTCAGGAATTACTCCTGGCAGTGTTTGGGGGACCCCATGGGATGCCGGGGATCAAACCCAGATCAGCCACGTGCAAGGCAAACGCCCTCCCCAGTGTCCTGTTGCTCCAGCCCCTCAATCCTGACCTTCATGGATGTTTTTCAGGTGAAATACAATGCACCTCTAAGCCAACACCCAGGAGGAAGGGCTGGAGAGAGTAAACGGGATGAAAAGACTGGCTGTGCATGTGGGAGATCCTGGTTTGATCCCTGGCACTGCATACAGTTCCCCAAGGGGTCATTCCTAAGCACAGAGCAGGAGCAGTCCCTGAGCACTGTAGGGTGTGAGCAGTAGCACACTTGGATCTCTCCACTGAACCAACTTCCGAGTTGGCTGATAATGGCTGGGAAAAGCCCCAAAGTTTCCTTAGCACCCTGGGAAGCCCCCAGAATAAATAAGTAAAACTTGTGTGATAGGGGCTGGAGCAATAGTACAGCGGGGAGGGTGTTTGCCTTGCATGTGGCCGACCTGGGTTCAATCCCCGGCATCCCATAGGCTCCCCCAAGCACTTCCAGGACTAATTCCTGAGTGCAGAGCCAGGAGAAACCCCTGAGCATCGCTGGGTATTACACAAAAAGAAAAAAAAAATTGTGAATATATACATTGTTAGTCTGAAATCTGTTTATTCCATCAGTTCCACATTGGAAAAAAGAGGAACGAGGAACGTTAAGCAAATTCTAAGACACAATGCTTCTTTTCTTTGGGTGAAAGGGTGAGGCCACTTAGCATTGTCTGGAGGCTGCTCCCAACTCTGTTTGAAGCTGCACCTGGCATCCGGGGGCCATGTGGTGCTGAGGTCAGTACCTTAGTCTCTTGATCAGCTCTTCCGGAAAGAGACTGCAGGGGCTGGAGAGACAATGTGACTCGGATTCCATTCCTGGCATCCCACAGGGCCTCCCGAGCACTGCCAGTAGTGAACCCTGAGTGCAGAGCCAAGAGCAACCCCTGAGCATCGCTGGGTGTGGCCCCCAAACTAAACCAAACCCAAAAGAAAACAGGACTTCATACTGAAATGATAACTACAGAATAAGGAGGATGGATGGGGGAAGAGAGAAGGAAAAGAAAACCAAACAATTGAAACAAGCAACATAAAGTAAATGTGTGATGTGCCTAAGCGGGCAGGTTGGGCTTGGGTGGCAAACTGGGAACATTGGTGGAGGGAAGGTCACACTGGTGGTGTTGAAACACCAAATGCCTGAAACAACTGTAAAGTGAACAACTTTGTAAATCATGGTGTTTTACTTTAAAAAAGAAAGAAAGAGGGGCTGGAGCAATAGCACAGCAGGTAGGGCGTTTGCCTTGCATGCAGCCAACATGACCGACCCGGGTTTGATTCCCAGCATCACATATGGTCCCCCGAGCACTGCCAGGAGTAATTCCTGAGTGCATGAGTCAGGAGTAACCCCTGAGCATTGCCGGGTGTGACCCAAAAAGCAAAAAATAAATAAATAAATAAATAAATAAATTAAATAAAAGAAAGTGAAACAAATGCTACTAATAGGTACAAGATGGGGCCAGAAAGAGCCCAGCAAGCTGGGGTTCAGATTTGCATGCTGGGAGGCCTGGCCTTGGTCCCCAGTACTCCATATAGTCCCCTGAGACTAAGCCAGGAGAAAACCCTGAGCACTACCCGGCATGGCAAAATAATAATGATGAATAATTTTTTTCTTTTTTTGGCTTTTTGGGTCACACCAGGCAATGCTCATGGTTTACTTCTGGCTCTGCTCTGAGGAATTATTCCTGGCAGTGCTCAGGGGATCATATGAGATGACAAGAATTGAACCTGAGGGGCTGGAGCGATAGTACAGCAGATAGGGCATTTGCCTTGCCAACGGCTGACCCGGGTTTGATTCCCAGCATCCCATATGGTCCCCTGAGCACCACCAGGAGTAATTCCTGAGTAACCCCTGCACATCATCGGGTCACAATCACAATCATCCTGTTGTTCGTTGATTTCCTCAAGCAGGCACCAGTAACATCTCCTTCTTCCTAGCCCTGAGATTTTAAAAGAGCCATTTCAATGCTCTTTCAGGATTAGGAGAATGAGACCCATCATTGTTACTGGTATTTGGCATACTGAATATGACACGGGAAGTTTGCCAGACTCTGCCATGCGGGCAGGATACTTTTGGTAGCTTGCCAGGTTCTCCAAAGGAAAATAAGATAATAAGATGTCACGCAGCTGCAAATGCGGCCGCGCACTTCCAGGAGCTGGGTTTTATAGTCTCTGTGTCTTGGCCATTGATGG